AAAATCTGGTGTCCACTGGGAGCGGAGCAGAGGAGAATCAGACCTTAAGTCTGGTTAATATATGTATGGTGGATGGTTCTTGGACCTCCTCAAATACTTTCAGTGGATGTGGATGGATGTTGAATGACAATTTTGGAAATAGTGAGCTAATGGGGATGCGCAATTTTGATCGAGTAGAATCGGCGTTGCATTCAGAATTGGAAGCACTGCGGTGGGCAATGGAGAATATGCTTCAACATTCGCCATGTCAGAGCTTTGGAACTGATTGTAAGGAGATGATTGAGATGCTCAAGAATCCTCAGGCATGGCCTAACTTCTCAACAGAGCTGGAGGGACTGGAGACCTTGAAGATATGTTTTCCTGACTTCAGGATTATTTATGTTCCTAGATCAGAGAATGGTGTATCTGATTCTCTCGCTAAGACAGCTAGGTCTTTCTATCGTAGGCTTGTGTACGTTGGTTGTTCTATTCCGGTCTGGATTCCCAGATCACCTCAAGTTCCTTGAGTAATAGAACTGCCGTTTTGATGTCAAAAAAAAAAAAAAAAAAAAAACGACATATTGGAAACTTATGTAAAAAACGAGGCATTGCAGACTTCATTTATCATATCTTCTTTTTTTTGTTTTTTTTGGTCAAACATTTATCATATCTTCTTCTTCTTTTCCATTATTCCATAAGTATTTTGTGCCATATAAAGGCACGTTTTAGTGTTTAGAGAGGAAATTTTCTCTGCATATACTATTTTTTTTTTGGTCTAAAGCATATACTATTTTCATTATTAGTGTTCAAAAAGGATGTAGTTCAAAAAAAGAAAGGATACTATATTGTTATAAATATTAATCCACTTACAAAGATTAATAATGATGCACACTTTATATGATTGTGTGTATAAATGTTGACTTTATATGTTTATACAAAAATAGCAGACAAGAAAATATATTATTTAAATAGATAATAGATTAATTAATTACTCAGTTATAAGGTGTGACATAAGTACACATAATTTCATCACAAACAAAAATTAACATATTTAGCAAAAACGAACACCAATACAACTTCATAAATTTATTTACCCACATTATGCAAACCATATATACTATAAAATGACAAAACTATATTATTAAAAAAGAATCATTCCAAAATACTACTATAAAAAATTGTTAAACTTATTTATTAGAAAATTAACTAATTAACCCAAATATATTCTTATTTGATGGTCTCCTAACAATATACATCAAATTGATGTCAAAAAACAAAACAAAAAAAATACATCAAATATTACATTTTAAATAAAAGTAATATATATCAAAATTATTACAATTAAATTATCAATTCATTCGAACATAATTGATATCTCTTATAAAACATGGGATTCACTATATACGACATATAGATGTAATTAAGGTTAAGATTATGAAAACTAGATATGGGAATACCAGTCTTCGAGTTGAGTCCAAGTCGGTTGTCGAGCATGGTCTTTCGGATCTCGACATAATTAGATATTTAACTTTTTTGTTTACATCCGAGTCGGTTCTTGTTGAATCTGAAATGGTTCAGTTCTATAATTCAAATACATGAATATATATATATATATATATATATATATATATATATATATAATTTTTGGTTGCATTGTCGATCCAGATATTTTGGATTTGAAATTTGAAATTCTAAATGTTCAAATTGGACCGAAGGCCTAAAAATACCAGAAATTTGTACAATATCCACAAATTCAAATATCAAAAAACATTTACTGAAAATTTTATTAAAGGACCCAGAAATACCAAAGAAAATTACCTGAATCCTTGATTTTTATTTCTGAAATATGAAATTTTACCTTAACTCGAACCTAAAATCGAAAACTCAAATCCTAAACATAAAGAAATATTTGTAATACCAAAAGTATACCAAAATACTCAAATATAACTAATTTATACAAAAATTTTGGGTATTTCAAATATCTGATTGGGTCTCGGGTAAGATATGGATCCAAACCGAGACACGCAGATCTAAAAATAGCCAATATGCATTTTATCCTAACTTGTTTTGGGCCAATTTTTGGTTGAATTTTTAAGTCAGGGTAAAATACTTGGACATATGAAAAACTAACATGCATTTTCATTTTAAATTAGATTTTAGAAAACAAATCTCTGTTTTAAAAGTGCGAGTTAAAATCAAGTTATTTTAATATAATAAGGGATTCGTCCAAACTAATTATCCATTTAAGCATATACAGCCAAGGATCCTCCCGAGTTAGTAAGAAGAAGATACCTAATCAAACAAAATTAATGTTTTCTGATTCATAAATATTAACCAATATTTAATTTGGTATCAGTGTGTGTATATATATATATATATATATATCTATTTTTATATATGCATCTTAGAAACATTGGTTGCATGTTTCTATTAATTTTTACCGTTCATGTTTTAGCTACAGCGAAAAAATAAAGAAAACTTTTTTCTATGTATTTAAGTAAAAAAACTCACATCTTCTTTTTATAGGCTATAGAATCTATAAAACAAAAAAAATATCTATAATATAAATAAATTATATAATCATAATAAAAATTATTTATAAATATTTTAATTTAAAGTTGGGTGTTTCTTAAATTATTAAATGTTTTAAATAACATAAAATTAGTTAAATATCACATTTTAAATAACAATAAACTCTGATAATTTCTAAAAATATTAATATAAATTATGTTAATTGATAAAGGTTAGAGTTTGTACTAGCATTACCACACATATCTAATTTTTGTTAACTGAATGTAGATGCTAATTATTGACTATTAAGAAATATATTGTTATCTTCTTTTACATATTTTAACTATATTCTAGTTACAGAGAAAAAAGCATGTTAATCCCCTATATATTAAAAGAAAAGCATAACAGTATTTTAGCTATGACACTTGTCATCACTATAATGCTTCTCAAAGTTTCTAGAGAAAATATTGGTTCACATAAACATATAATATACTTTTATTAACTACACACTATTATTAATGTTCTTCATTCTTTCATTAAATAAAAACTACTGGGTAGCAAGAAAATAGATGGCTAATTGAGCGGTGCTAAGGTTTTGAGCGATGAAGAAGGCGATCTCCTACCTCAGACTCTCCTGATCAAGACCCTTCCTCGTGGCGCTCGTTCCCCTCTGCTATCATCACAAGGGAGACTACAGACACTCCTTGTGACCCGTGTGCCCTCGCTGTAGTCCGAAAGTTATTTAGAACATCTCCAAAAGACATTCTATAACTTCAAATATGAAGCTTTTATCTCTCCAAAAAGGAACTCTAAAACTTCAAATTTGAAGTTTTGAGTAGTGAAACTTCAAATATAGAGTGTCACTATTCAAAACTTTAAATTTGAAGTTTAATATTTTATTTGCATTTTGGTCCTTACAATTTCACATCATATTTATAATAATTTTCAATGTTTTTATTTTTATCATATTATTCCTTAAAAATTCTTATTTCATAAATAATTCAAAATTATTTTTCTAAATTTAAATTTTATATATATATTTTTTTAAAACATCAAGATAATCTTTAAAATATTTTAAAACTAGAACTAGACAACAACAATATTACATGCTATAATATGGTATTTTTTTGTACTTTAATATTTAATTATATATTTCTATTTAAAGTTTTATATTTTAGTGTAACATTTTATCAAAAAATATTTTTATAATACTTTAATACATGATAGTTATTTAAAAAAGTTTTATGAATTTTAATTAGTTATGACAAATATAAAGACCATTTTATAAAATACAAATAGTTTTAAAGTTAGGTTTGAAGTTTTACTTTTGGAGTATAACACCTTCAAACTTCTAATATAGAGTTTTGCAAACTCTATAATAGAGAGTCTTTTTGGAGATGCTCTTAGTTGACGTCGGTATCAAGTTTCTGTGGTGGAGAATGTTTCTTTCCGGCTTGTGTAATAGCGTTTGATCACGGATCCGTTCAGATCTTACTTTGAAGTTCTGATCCCCCAGGCTCATACATTCATTGATGTATCCGGAAGGCTTGAGACGATCAAATCTCTCGTTGGCTTAGATCTTCACTCTCTCCAGTGCTAGATCGCGTAAGGAGACCAGCTTAATCTTTGTTTGCTGGTGGTGGTGCGATTTTTCATTAAGGAATCGATCCTAGTTGATTCCTTCATCAGTACGGAAACGGGCTTATCATTCTCTCACGTGATATACCGGCTTTGTGTCTTTGGGAACAGACTTCTAGCCTGAAACTGACGCTCAATTTTGCGTATCATTGTACGTAATTCATCACGCTCATGGGGACATTGGGTCGTATCCGATCTGCTCATATGACAGATAACAAGGGCAAAGGAATCCTTTATGAGGATGATGATGAACCGATAAAGCGTTCTGCACAAGATGATTCTTTTGTCATCAAGGAATATCGGTTATCTCTAATTAGCAAGGTGCTTAATCCTAAGAAGCAAAACGTTGAGAAACTAGTACAAACATTGCCGGCTCAATGGGGTCTTCAAGATAGAATCACAGCAAATGACTTAGGCAATGGGAAGTTTCTATTTAACTTCAGCTCAGAGGAAGAGCTGACCTGTGTCCTCATGAAAGGCCCTTTTCACTACAACTATTGTATGTTTGTATTGGTGAGATGGGAGCCTATCGTGCATGTTGATTACCCGTGGATCATTCCCTTTTGGGTTACCTTTGTTGGAATGCCATTACACTTATGGACGAATAGAAATTTGAGGGAAATTGGTGGTCGTCTTGGCTTTGTGGACACAGTTAATCTCTCGGAAGGTCGTTTGCTAATTGACATATACTCGAGGAGGTCTTTAAAGTTCAATAGGAAGGTTCAAAGCCCTGAGGGCGATGAGGTCACCATTGAGATCAAATACAATATGCTCTTTAATCATTGTAAAACTTGTGGTATGATGAAGCATGAAAAAGGTTATTTCCCTTCGGTGGTGCTTAGCTCTCATAGTTTATCAGAGAAACATGGTATCTTTGACAGTGTTCCGTTCCCTCCATATCGACTACCAGCCTTTTATGGGTGATACTCGGACCCGTAGGAGTGTCCATGAGGGAAAGGGAAATGAAACTGATCGTGTCTCTTTGACTGGATCATCACGTCTTCAGCAGGAGAGGAACAACGTGAGTAAGGAGATTCATTATCGTGTACCTGTCTCACATAATAGTGGTTATGCCTTAAGGAATAATGATCGGGAATCAATCCGATCACGTTTAAGAGATAGCGGAAAACATACCTATCACCATTCTGATAGACTTATGAGAGGAAGGGATGACAAGTCAAGATACATGCGCTACAAGAGTTCTCGCCATGGTAAGGGACCTTATGATCGTGATGTTAATTTAACATGGCAGGAAAAGCATAGAAAATGAGAAGGAAGTGATCCCAATGTTTTGGCAGACGCTAGAGGCTTAGTTCCTTATGAACAAGTCATGGAAAAATAAGTTTTGGTGCAAGTAATGGATCAAACTCAACAAAGCAATGAGGCTACTTCTGCTGGAGAAGAGAGACAGGGTAAGCGGCTGGCAAGTACCATTGTCTCCTCAGATTTTCGAGCTAGTATGGAGGGTAACGTTACATTGAGGAACAAGAGTGTCGTGTGACCTCTAACATACTCACCAAACGCTTCCTCGTCAGCGATAGGAAATGATCAAGTCATCAGGGCTTTAAGTGGTATGGAGATACAAGCTGAGGAGGAAGATGGTGATAATTTGATGGTATTGGACGATCTGTTTGATGAGGAGCTTAAGGATATGGAGGAAAAGCATGATTCTGGAGCTTTAGGTCCATTACGAAGTAAACAGTCATCCAAATATTCTAAGAACTCAAGGAGCAGTAACAGGAGAAATCCCTCTTTAGAAGTAAAAAAATATGAGTTCCTTCGTTGAGGTTCCCCACGACTTAGAGCGGCCTTTTCTTCTACTCAACAGCCGGATACGAGAGAGAGGACAAAGAGGTCTCACCAGAGTTCTAGGAAGGCGAGAGAGGGCACAAAGAAGGATGATGGTTTGATGGGTTCCAAAAATCCATCCCCCCATCATCAATGAGGACACTCAGTTGGAACTGCGAGGGCTAGGGAACAACCTCATAGTTCAACGCCTTGAGGAGATGTGTCAGAAGCATCGTCCAAGACTTGTGTTCCTTTCTGAAACAAAGAACATAAGGCTGCTGTTGCAAGACATTAAGGCTGACTTAGGATTTTATCGTTTGTTTACCGTTGAGCCACTTGGTCTTAGCGAAGGTTTAGCATTTTTTTTACATGGATGAATTTCAAGTTAATGTTTTATTTTTCAAATAACAGAATGATTGACATTGAGACAGTCATTGATGGAATAAAAGTATATATGATGTTTGTTTATGGGGATCATGTACTTGAACAAAGAGAGTTAGTCTGAGAACGTCTTACGCGTTTCTAAATAACAAGAAATGGACCTTGATTTATGATAGGTGACTTTAATGAAATAACATGTCATGAGGAGAAGGAAGGAGGCAGACAACACACAGACAATTCATTCTTACCCTTCAAGCAAATGCTGAGAGATTATGGTATGCTAGATTTTCCTTTTACAGGAAACATGCTATCCTGGGTAGGAAAAAGAGCAAGGAGGACTACGGTTAGATGCCGCCTTGACAGAGCTGTTGAGAATGAGGACTGGCATGAAAAGTTTCCTCATTCCAAAGTGCAGTATATGAGGCTCTGGGGATCAGATTATCGTCTGATTTTAGCTGACAATCTTAAAAAAAAAAGCGAAAAAAGATCTAAAAATTTCAAATTTGATAAGAGATGGCTTGACAATGAGGAGCTCAGGCAAGTCATACTTGAGGGATGGAAATCACCGGATCTTCCGCCAGACACAACTATCATGGAACATATTGTAAGTTGCCCGACCCTTATGTGACTGGAAAAGGCAACATAATCTGAATTCGGAGAAAAGTGTGGAGGAGTTTGAAAGAAAAGGTGGATCAATTATCTTCCAACGATGATGCCACTACAGAGGAGATTGCGGCAGATTTAAAGGAACTGTCTGACGCTCTTAAGGCGGAAGAGATATTTTGGAAGCAGAAGTGTAGGGTATTTTGGTTAAGGGAAGGAGATAGAAATACTAAATTCTTTCACGCCCTCACGAAGCAGAGAAGAGCGAGAAACAGGATTACACAATTACTGGATGAAGATGGGAATGTTGTAGAGGATGAGGAAGGACTTGTAGCCATTGCTACAAGTTATTTTAGACACATCTTCCAATCATCAAACCTTGAGGATTTAGAGGAAGCACTATCTACAATCATTACATCAGCAGGCAATGAGAATCTCACACCTCCGGTCACCGAATGGGAGGTCAAATTGGCTCATTTTGCAATGCATCCAGAAAAAGCCCCAAGACCAGATGGAATGACTGCGCTATTCTACCAGAAAATTTGGGATATTGTAAAGGATGATCTAATGTTACCTATTGGTTTAAATGATACCAACATATGTCTCATTCCAAAAGTAGATAAGCCGAATCAGATGAGCCAGCTCCGTCCCATCAGTTTATATAACGCTAGTTACAAGATAATCTCTAAGGTCCTATGCCAGAGGTTAAAAAAGATTCTATCAGATCGGATTTTAGAAATCCAGTCAGCCTTTGTTGCTGGGAGACAGATATCTGACAACATTATGATTGCTCAGGAGATGTTCCATGCTCTAAGAATCAAACCGAGTGGTCGCAACAAGAGGATGGCCATTGAAACAGATATGAGCAAGGCGTACGATAGAATTGAGTGGTCCTTTATCGAGGCCACCATGAGAAAGATGGGTTTTTCGGAAATCTGGATAACCTGGATAATGTGATGTGTAACATCAGTAAAGTATAAGGGCATTATGAATGGCCAGCCAAGAGGGAGTATTCTCCCGGAGAGAGGACTAAGGCAGGGGGATCCTCTGTCCCCTTTCATTTTTATTCTATGAACGGAAGCGCTCGTTAGCCTTCTAAATCATGCAGAGAATCAAGGAAAGATAACAGGGATGTGCATCACGAGTGTGTGTCCTTCGGTATCTCACCTTCTATTTGTTGATGATAGCCTGTTCTTTTGCAAGGTGGAGCCCTGTGAATGTGAAGAAGTAATGAAAGTGGTTAGGAAATATGGTCAAGCTTCAGGACAATGCATTAATTTCGATAAATCATCTCTACTATTTGGTAAGAGAATCGGACAGGATGTTAGGCAAGAGATTAAAGACACACTTGGGATTCAGAATGAAGGAGGGATAGGAAGATACTTCGGAATCCCACAGAATATCAGTGGATCTAAATGTAAGCTTTTTGCCTTCTTGAAGGATAAGCTAAGGAATAAAGTAAATGGATGGACGGGTAGGTGGTTATCAAAAGGTGGCAAGGAAGTAATGATTTGGTCGATCTCGCTAGCACTCCTAACCTATGTAATATCTTGCTTTCTACTTCCGTTGGAGATCTGTGATGCTTTAGCTAGTGCCATTGCACAGTTCTGGTGGATTTTGAACCCCCCCCCCCCAAAAGAGGTATACACTGGTCAACATGGGATACATTATGCTTATCTAAAGAGAAAGGAGGGATTGGGTTCAGAATGATTCATGAATTTAACCTGGCGTTGTTGGCAAAGCAGTTATGGAGATTGGTTCAATACCCAGATTCTCTGGTAGTCTTGAGAGGCCGGTATTATCTATTGAGCTCGCCTTTGCGCCAGCTTACTGTCAGTAGCCCATCGTATGTGTGGACAAGTATATCGGTGGCACGAGAATTACTATTGCTGGGAGTTAGACAGAAAATACATTCGGGATATGAAATGAAAGTTTGAGAAGATCCATGGATTCCTACCATTCCAGCGAGATCAGTGTCCCCATCTGCACCGATTTTGCATCCGAACATGAGAGTGAGTAACCTTATTAATCAAGAAACAAAGTCTTGGGATCTGGGCCGGCTGGCGAACTACGTAGATGCTGCTGATAACCACTCATAAGGAGTATAGCCATTAGTGCAATACATCACAGGGACACGTATTGCTGGAGCTGTACAAGAAATGGACAATACACAGTCAAATCTGGATATTAGGTTGTACATATTATATTGATGAAGGAGGAGGAAGCTGTAGTTTTTGAACCTAGTATCACAAAACTCCAAGCACATACGTGTGCCATCTTATGTGGCAAATAATAACAGATCATGTGGCTGTTACAAGTACTTTGAACTATAGACATATGAGATGTGATAATCACTGTCCACAATGTGGGAAACCAGAAGAATCGGTTACACATGCAATCTTTCAGTGTCCACCTGCAATGCAAGTTTGGGCCTTATCATCTACGCATACCATCCCTACCTTGTTTCCACTACAGAGCACATATGTGAATATGGACTATCTCTTCTAGAGGAAAAATGCCATAATGGAACCGGAATTGGACAGAGATCCTTATCCCTGCCTAATATGATATATTTGGAAGGCTTGAAACGATAAGCTGTTCAAATGAATTGATAGAGATCCTTTGGACTAGCCCGCTATGCAGAGAGGGAGTGTCAAGCATGGTTCCAAGCCAATGAGCAGATTATATCGCCATCTCAAGGCAACATAGATGTTGAAAGCCAGACCATAAGTCTGGAAAACATTTGTATGGTAGACGGTTGTTGGACCTCTACAACTTAGTTCAGTGGATGTGGTTGGGTTTGGAATGACAGTATGGGAAATAGTCAATTAATGGGTATGCGTAATTTTAGTAGGGTGGAGTCTGCTTTGCACTCTGAGCTGGAAGCACTACGGTGGGCAATGGAGAATATGCTTCAACATTCGCCATGTCAGAGCTTTGGGAAGGACTCCAAGGAGATGATAGCAATGCTCAGAAATCCTCATGACTGGCAAAGCTTCTCAACGAAATTGGAAAAGCTCATGACACTGTGGATTTGCTTCCCAGATTTCAAGATTTTCTATGTTCCTAGGACACAGAATGTTGTTTCTGATTCTTTAGCTAAAACTGTTCGATCTTTATATCGAGCACTTTTGTATGTTGGTTATTCTAATCCGGTCTGACTTCCCAGACAACCTCAAGCTTGAAGATCACCCTTTTTGATGTCAAAAAATAAATAAATAAATAAATAAATAAAATTTACTGAATTATCTAATATGATTCATATATATATATATATATATGACAATTAGTGATTTGAATAAGAAATATAAAAAAAGAATTATGTACCCACTATTCTTTTTGTTAAATTATATTATAAAATAAACTAAACAATCATAGTAACTATATAATACAAGAAAGTTTAGATTTTTCGTATATGTTATATTATGAATTTTTAAAATGACTATACATTAAAAAACCTTTAAAATTCAAGATAGATTTTTTTGTGATTAATAACGATTATACAATCAATGAGTATGAAGTATCATTTAGTAGATATTCATAATATATATATATATATATATATATATATATATATATATATATATATATATATATATATATATATATATATATATAATTTTCTAATGGCGTTTAAATTAAACTATATACCATCTAAATATATATATATATAATGTTTTTAACTTCAAAATTGAATTGAACAAGTATTGAAAACTTAATATTTTAGTTTCAGACTTTGAATTAAATTTTTGTAAAATAATTATGAATTACTATAATATTAAGTATCTCATATTAAAGATTATGTTATCAATGGTTAAAAAAAAATTGTAACATAATATACAAATGATCATAAAATCATATAAGTATAAAACTTCATTTAATAGATAAGTTAAAAATAAACTATATTTATCTATGTTAATATCATTTATTTTCTAGATTCACTTATATAAAGTGATTGTAAATAAACAAATGTGACTTTTTATTTATGTGAGCATGCTAATTTAATTATATACATAATATTCACTAATTTTCAATTATTCAATACATATATATATTATAATATGTAAAAGAACACAATATAAATAGTAATATACAAAATAATTTATGTATATAATTTTCATATTCCGGGTAAGGTGTAGGTCTTAAATATGTAGTATATACCAGTCAATCTTACTTTTGGTAATATCCCTTGTATTTTGTTCTACAAAAAAAATCTCTTATATATGTATTTGCTCTCTGATCTCTGAATACAATATTGTAGAAGAAAAAGACTTGAGATAAAGAGTAGTAGACTTGTGATTTTTTGTAAATTAATTCCAAAATGACTATGATCCACTTCCACATGTTCAGCCCAACTAAGTTTCTCTGACTAACTAACATTCACACGCACTCTTCACGACCCTTTAATTTATCATAAGTAGGTAGACATTAAAACTAAAAAGCATACATGTCACTTCTTTTTTTTCTTGTGCATAAGCATACATATACTTTTACTTTATAAGAAACCCTTAGACGAAACTACATATCATTTTTGCAAAACTATTAAAACGATAAAACAACAGTACATCTTAATTGATAAATATGATACATTCTAAAGGTATTTAGCAAATATACTACATAATCACTTTAATTGTGTCTTTCAATCGATTGAGGCCACTCTTTGGTAGATAAATGTCAGTGTACACCGTGACATTGGTTAGGCTTTCTTCTTAACCGAGTTCGATCGGTTGGGTTGACTTTTCATTTTACATGTCTTTAATCATTCTCCATTCGTCTGGACATGTTTTTTTTTTCTGTTGCTAAAAATATGTTTGTTTCAAGTTTAAGCTATGTACCCAAGCTTTGTTATTTCTCAACGTATCATTTTGTGTGTGTTTCTTCTTAGTTTTTTTTTAGTCACGCACTAAAATTTAAAACAGATACTTTTTGAAAAAACGGTTTTGAATTAGATAAAAAGAATTACAAAGATATGATTTTTTAGATCATATAGTTTGAGAAAGCAATACAAAAGATAAGAGCTGCCATTTGAGCTAAAACAGATATGGTTACGGGTATTCGCAAAACGATGGACAACAAGAGTCAAGACATTCAATCTTGGTGTTCATCATCTTCACCTTCAGAGTCTGCAAAGAATATATGACAAAACAAAATCCGAATAGATCATTTAGAACATTATAAAGCACTTGTTGGCTTAGATATATGTATTCATATATATTTAAATCTTACCAGAACGAACGTCTCTAGCGATTTTGTCTTTGGAACGGATTTGGATGATGAACATACGACATATCAAGACCCACCAGTAGATGTGAAGAATCTGTAAGCACCATAGAAATGTGTTGAAAACGTAGTACATTGTAGAAGGTAGTCCAGTTCCTATCGAGTGCGTCTTGTCCCACTCTAGTTTCACGTTTATAGATTCATAACTGCATAGTTCATATATCATACGTGGAGAGGAACCAAAAAAAAAAAAAAAAACATAAAGATCCCATCCAGTTAAATAAAATGAGTTATGGAGTTTGGTGAATGGTATAAACCTGGTACCCCAGAGGATCCATAAAGGGTAATAGATGAGTCGCAGAGCCGTCCACGACAGGAAAAATAGGATGAACGAGACAGTAGCCATGGATTCTAGGCCGCTGTATTTGCACATCTTGCCTATTTCTACAAACACGTCGGTGATCTCGTGAACAGCCAATATTACAGAGCCTACCCGAGAAAATCTAGCGTAGAAAATATAACAAGAGGAAATTGATGAGTTCAAAAGTCTCGAGAAAGATCAGAAAATGTAAAAAGTCCTTAATATATCTTTTAAAGATTACGATTACCTGAAAACGTAAGACAAGATGATGAGGAATGAAGTTACTATGTGATGAACTATCATGACTTTGAAATCAGATCGTCTTGTTTCCCAAAAGAACAAAGCAAATAAGGAATACACATTCAAGCCACCGACAAACGTGTACAGTCCCTTCATTTTCAACCTGCGCAGGGTAATATACAAATCAAAAGAAATTAGGCGTTAATTTATTGCGTCTGACTTAACACATTAAGTCAAGCTTATTCATGAATCTTACTTTATCTTTTGGTCGGGCCACATCTGGTCTCCTGGTCCTAACCAGAAGCATTTTGTGTCTTTGAACCATGGCTCATTATAAGTGATGTAGAGAGCAAGTGCTTCGGTAGAGATAGAGCAGAGACATTTCCAAGCTGATTCTTTGAATTTAACTATCCTCTTTCTTCTATCGTTTGAATCAACACATTTTCCTCTAGGAAATACCACTCTTCTAGCAGATCTCTATAATGTGATTATGAATCTCTCAAGATTACTTGCTTCCCAAGTCATGATGAATACTAAGAGATATATAAGAAACTGAGAGTAGTGGGGGTACGTACCTCGAATATTGATCTGTCTAGTATCAAACGAAGAAAAAGGAAGAAAGGAGCAAAGATGATGAGGACCCATAAATCAGAAGAAGATGGGTAAGATTCTTGATCCCAATCCCAGTTCAAGATTTTGAGATCCATCTTGTCAAGATCCTACAAAAAATGAAGTGTTGGGCGTAACATTATATATCCTGTGTGTTTCACTTCTTGTTCTTCTTTTCTGTCGAAGTCAACCCTATAGGAGAAAGAAAGGGCGGAGATTATCTTTGCTAGAAAGTAGAGATAATACATCGGAAAAAGAAGAGTGAACCGGGGTCCAACCTTGCGAAGCCATCACAAACCAAAGCAAACCGTTGTACCGACACCGGTTAAATTGTAGTTTGTTCAAAACTTTATATTGGTGAAGCAGTTTTGATGTTAATGTTAATACACTTGTCCCAACATTTTAAGATTCATAACATATAACCAGGAACTTTTTTAAAACCCACTTGTCATCAGTGTTTTCTACCTGTTTAAGAGTTTTTCTGGTGCAAAAAGCAAGCGATTTTCTTTTGGTTATCCTCAAATCCAATGCCTTAAACAACTAAATTTCAATATTCACCAAGCTGAATCCCTCACGGGCCACGTTAAGAGCCATCCCTTGACCAGGAAGAGATCGAATCATCAAAACATAGCAGCTCACAAGAAACACAAAAGCAACATATTTAGGGCTGATTAAAAAACGTAGCGGTTGCGGTATGGTGGCAAAAGTTTGCAGATATAAGTGACTGCGGTTTTTAGCGTTATTAAGCGGTTTGTATGATTGGTAGTGCTGTTAGAAATTGGTGCATTTACAGCATATTTGTGAATGATTGATTATGAAATACATTGGTTTAATAAAAAAAAGATTAACAAATTATAACATTATAAAAATAATAAAACATATTATTATGATAAAATATAATAATTATTAATATAATATAATTAATAATAATATTACATTTTTTATTTAATTTAGATAACAGTTATAGTTTCATAAAATTTGTTTTGAAGATTTATAAGCGAAGTTTTGAAAGAATATTTTGTTTTGTTTATATATGTATATATCATTACATATGTATATATATTAATGTTTAAAAATTATAGCGAATATTTTTATTCAAAGTTCTTATAAAATAAATTTTCATATTGCTAGTAAACTTAAGTTAAAATATAAAATGTATATATAATTTATTTCTAATATTAAAATTAAATTTTATATTAGAAATATTTTTATAGTTATTTATCCATCCACAAACATGCGTAACCGCAAGTACTAATTGGAATCAATTTTTGACTTTAATAGGTTTGAAATAGTTTGAAGCGATTTATAGCATTTTGTGATTGTTTCAAATACTAACAACCGATACCAACCGTAAAAACTACGTTTGCAGATGGTAGCAAGAAAAGTAGTCGGACCCTAACTTACCTCAAAACCATATCTTCGAGATTGTGTTCCCAAACAAAAAACAAAAGCTTCTCCACTGCAGTTCATTTGCTTCTAAGAAATCAAATTGTTCACATAACCCTACCCAGAAATCAAACTCAAAAGCAAACTTCACACGATGTTGAAAAGTATTTGTAGTCAAATAGGTCTTTTTACATGGTTGGCTGATATACACGAATTCCAAAAAGAAAACATAAGGTGTCACATACTATTAAAGATACTTTCAAATATACTCTCATTCATAGTCGCAAGTTTTGTATAAAAGAAAAGATCCCATTCTTTGTAGTGATAATGAAATCACTAGCTCTTACTATATTTATAGCACTATCAACTAAATTTTTGAAGTAAATAGAGGTCGGCCAAATATCCAGATTTGAGACTATGAGCATGATTAACCGAAATTTTTAAGTTAGGGTTTTTAATTTGTGATTTGACATCATTTTGTTTTTTGTTTTTTTTTTTTTTTATATTTTTCCGCTAAAAACAGTTTTTAAAGATGATTTTTAACTTTTTTAACTAAAAGCTAAAAAAACTATTCTTAGTTTCGACTAAAAATTACATCCTAAAAACTCAAGTTAATCATGGTTTAAAAGTCAAAAGGATCATTGAGTCTATCGCAAACAATGAAACAAATAGTGAACACAAACGTTCCTTCCTTTTTCATCATCATACTGTACTATTATAGAAAAAAACATAAATTCTCTTTAGTTATAACTGCATCATAGTAATTAATTAATCTTTCGTACAAATATTTAAAAACTGAAAAAAAAAATTAAAAGAATAATTGAGATCTGAAGGCATCAGAAAACCGTCAGAACTAATCTTATTTTTACCTATATGTGTTTCTATATATGTACATATATAATTGCAATTTTTTGATTCATGAATTTTCCACGCAACTCGAAAAAAGAGTGTTGCTACTAATAAAAGAGAATTGTCCAAGCAGAAACTGTTGTTCATCAATCTCCTTTAAGAAATTAGAGATTTTTTCGGACTACATCCAATTTTTTCTCTATATTAATTTAGTTTATTATAAAGTGTATTTAACTATATATTTTGCATTTATACTAAATATGCTACATAAATTATTAGATAAATTTACAATTTATTGTATTATTTCTGTTGACTTTAAATTTAAAATTATTAAAATTTAGTTTTTTCAATATCAAAATACATGTAAGTTGGTAACAAACTGAATAAAAAATAAATAAATTTTTTAGCTAAAAATAAATTATTTTTAAACTTTGTGAAAATGGTTAAATTAAAATATAATTCAAATAGTGTTTTAACAGTAAAATCAACCACTATATATTTTAATATTGATTATTTCTCATTTGTTATTTTCTTTCTGTAAACATCTATATGTCTCCTCCTTGAACATGTACAACGCTATTTCTTGCTATTTAAAGTAACAACGATCCTTTTCGTCCACCAACACAAAATTTAGATAATACTTGACATTGAATTTGTTGTTGATGTTCTGAAAATCTAGCCCCATCGAGCTGCACCGTACTTCCTTCTTCACTTGCATTTCCTTCATAAAACATTGTTCAACCCTCCATAAATAGCAAGCATTAGATATTTGCACATAAGCACAAGTTTCATCTAGATTCAACTTTATCAAACATTTTACTGCTCATCCAGCCATATTAATGTTACCGTTTTTCCAGCAAATAGAAAGAAAAGAGCTCCATATAATAGTGGCTTCTTCCACTCTAATGTTCATTTATCATTGCTTCGGTTTCCTTCAGTAGGTTTGCTTCATCCAACACATTAACCATTCAAGTGTATTGTTTTATCGATGACATAATAAATTAAATTACTTTTATCTCATCATTAAACTGATCAAACAACCAATTGTCTTCTCTAATTCCGGAAAAATTCAAATTTAGTTAACAAATCTTTGATCACCATCCTAGCAAGTGACTATTGTTCCATTGTTCTGCGTGGTGCATACACATATAACTGGTCACCAAAATTTAAATAATTACAAACCCATTACAACATATGTGTGCAAACTATGAAAATAGGAAAATCTAGAAATTAGCAAGAAATAATTTCTTACTTAAACTTCACAAGCGTATATAATACCAAACAAACTCACTAATGTGAATATGATGAAGGTTTTGGTTCTAACAAAATGATGCAAAGACACTAATAAGTTATCAAAACCCATCTTATACAATATAAAGCTTAAAAAAAAAACTAAGCACACCATAATGAGCATATTCATAGAGAAGTGATGTTAAGACTTTTTTATAAAAATATGATAACTAATAACTGATATTCAAACCTATAGTATAGAACCAATAACTGCTACAAAAAATATTTTCTCTAGAAAAAAAAACTGATATAGAAGATAATGATAACTATCCAAATAGTACGTTCTGTCCCTTTGGAATGAGTCGTACATGCGTCATGTTGATAGTATCGGGCATGTGTCCCGTTAGAAAGAAGTCTCGCACTTTTGAAACAATGGCCTCTCCCACTATGACCCAATTTGCTTGGAAGAAGGCTGCAAAAAAACCGTCCGATCCTGGTGCCTTGTCAGGATGAATCGTAAAAAGAGCGTTATATAAGTATTTTTCCAATTTTTACCTATTTTAATTTATTAATTAGTAAAATCAAATAATCAATATATTAAATATAGGTAAATATTTCGTTTGAAAAGTCTTAAATGATAATTATAATGAAAAGGATGGAGTAATTAAGCGGCTTTAGTGGAACGCACGTTCGCGCTCTCTCTCT